TTGAGCTCAAGAAAACCTGAAACTGTATGTGTGCCTTTGAGCTCAAGAAAACCTGAAACTGTATGTGTGCCTCTTCGGCAGATCAGCCCTATTGAGAAAAAGTTGCACATCTCCATACAATTGGGATTTTCCGACTCACAACACTTGTCTTGTCTGGATTTCAACTGGTCTGCAATTAATAAACCCCAAACTATCCTCAAATATATATTCTATGCTTCCTCTTACTTACTGGGATAACAAGATGGAAAAAAAGATCAAGCTGATGTTTACATATAGGTAACATTTCAGGCAAAGCCTTTGAATGAATACACTCAGCGGTTTCACACAGGTATTGCTGAAATCCTGTTGTGCAGCTCCATCTATGTAACAGGGATGACATCACCACCAGTAGCAAACTGCTGCTGATTAAAGGCTTCATTTGTCCATTTCCATGTGCATGCCACTTCATCTAATTGTATACAAGTTGCTTGCAGCGCAAAACTACCTTTACTATGCAGAACTGATTAACAGAATTTCAGCTATTAGACGCAAATGGAGAAGATGAAACTCTGATGAACTCCAAGTCACAAGAAATGTAACAGAAGTTCTCTAGCACTACTTTCTGAATTCTACTCTCAAAACAGGAACAGAACCAAAACCCTCCACGTAAAAACTGTTTGGAAGAATGCCAGAAGGATGCACTCAATCTATGTCCAAAAGCCAGCCTAAGCGCCTACAACAAAAAAGAAACCTGTTCACTAATACGTAAAATAGTGCATTCAGTTTCACAGCTTACACTTACCTGCCATCTAACACTGGCAATATGTGTGTACACTGATATCCAGAAGAAACAATGAGACCACTGCAAGGCCAGCCTTGCTTTTTGTTGTGATAGAAACTGTACAAACTGTCCACACCATAAGAAACCTTGGGTACTTGATAACATTCAAATAAGAGCTCTGACATCATTTGTCTTGAATAGAGAGGGTTGCAGACAGCTTCTGTGACCACAACTGGATGATCAACACAGCCCTATAAGGAAGGTGAGGTAGGAGAAAAACGTCAGAGAAATTCCAGCACCTAGTAAAAAAGAAATCTACATTTTGATACAGATATGGACATGGTAGAGCCCTACAAAAACATGGAACCAAGACACAAAGTTTTAAAACTCTTGTCTTCGTACACAGAAATATAAAATACTTTTGCAACTTTGATACCTGCCATTTAACAATTTAACAATTCTCTGTTGCTATATGATATCAAGTTGCTTTTCTATGGCACCCAGTCTGCTTTCAAATAAGAGATTAAGAATAAGAACATATACAGTAAGACTGCCTATACCTGTGGGATTGGTATCCATAGTTTTAGTTATCCATTGTTTACTACAGGCCTATATACAGCATACAAAGAGCAGGCCTTTGAGCCTTTGTCCCACCTCCTTGTATGTGGTATATATAGGGTTCACTAATATCCATGGTTTCAGGCATCTGCAGTAGATCATGGAATGGATTCTCTGCAGATATGGGAGTCCTACTGTATAGCATAGGACAAGGGGGCTCCATTTATCCAGAAATATGCTTATATGCAATTGTAGGTATGTAGGAGCACTCCACAAGTCAGGTGTATATGCACATATGTGTGTGTGTGTGTGTGTGTGTGTGTGTGTGTGTGTGTGTGTGTGTGTGTGTGTGAATGAAAAAAGGGGTGAAGTTTATTGCCATCATAGTCCTGCTCTCCTCTCATATATCATCTAAAAATCAAAGTCCCTGCCCACTCCGAGCTAATTCACTGGTTCTACATTTTAATCCTGAAATTCTAATACAATTAGCAAAAAATAAACCCAATGAATGTTGTGAGACTTGGTACACATATATATTGTGTTTTGGTACACATACAGATTGCATCATGTCAGGTGGCCATTAAAAAACTGAGCTATGTCAGAAAACCTCATCTGCGCAATCCCCTATACTTAACTGGGCTTCAGGCAAATGATAAGTCATTTTGTAAGGTTGTTCTGAGCTCTGCATGAACTGCATTCTGCACCCCACAAAACTTCATAAACGCAAATAAAATAAAATAGACCTAAACACCAAATATTATACCCCCACCCAAAAAAGGATTAATCTTTTGCTCAGATCTCCCCGCTCCACCCCAACTGGAAGGACAAGCATTATCAGGCAGGCTTTTAAGCAATATGTGGGGTCTCAGGAATGCTACTTCTATTTATAGATTTCCTGAGATTTGTAAATGTTTGTAATTTTGTTTCAATTTTACTACTGATAAACGTTTGTTTCTAGTATACTTTTTACAGCATTTTTAAATCTGCGATTAGTTTTAATTGCTGTGAGCCACCTTTGGTCTACTATGGGGAGAAAAGTGGCATATAAATTACATGCATGCATGCATATATACATACCACCCGCCCCCTCCTCCTCCCTACCTGCGAGGAGATGCCCAAGCGTTGGAAGCCGTGATCAAAGAGCAGCTCCTGCAGCTCCATTTGGACGGGCACGTTCCGATCGAAGGGCGAGCGCAGCAGCCACCGGAGGGGCTCCGGGCTGCCGAGGTCATTACCCACTTGCGTCTCCGGGCCAGCCCCGCCACGGGCTCCCCGGCTCCGGGCCACCAAGGCACGGAAACGGAGCAGCGGCTCGCCAGGCACCGCCGGATCTGGACTGGCCCAGCCCAACCGCAGCTGGAACGAGCCATTGTCCAGCACCAAAGGAGCCGGGCTCGGAACGCGCACGGCCGGGTTCGCTTCCAACACGGGGTCGGGATCCCAACGGACGTCGCGGAAAGCGAAGACTCCGCCGCCCGCCTCCATTGCGCCGAGAACCGCACCACTCCTCGGGTCCCTTCTCTTTTGGTTTCCGACTGGAAACAAGGCCTTGCGATCGAGTTCCGTCATTCGGGCTCCCAACTTAAAAAAAAAATAGCTTCGTGATTCGCACCGGCTACTTTGCCCTTTGACTTGAAGGTTTCACTTGACGTTTTATTCCGGACAGAAGGGCCATTTCCCCATGAAAATCAATATGAGTATGCTTGAGTTTACACTGAGTGACCATTTGTTTCAGATTCTGGAAATTTAAAAACCTTTCTGCTTATAGCTGGAGGCGCGGACACGCTCCTGCCCTTGAGGCGCGTTCTCAAATCGTGCGTTTTCATTATTGACTTGTTTCTTCCAACTCGGGGGGAGGGAAGGAACAGGGGGGTATTCAAAAGCAATGAAGAAATCCCGGCGTTGCTTATAGTGCTTGCCAGTCTGTACCGCTCACAGAGAACAGCTGGCCTTTGTACAGCGAGAAGCTGGTGGACTGAATGAGACATAGATGATCTGACCCAGATAATCAAGATTTTCCTGGAGTGCCTGCAACAAGCCTGCTGATAGTTCTGGCAGAAACTGGGGTCGTTGGATAGGCCGCTTGAAACATGCAGGGCTTTTCTCACCCACACAGCTGTATGAAATCGCAGGACTGAAACTCTGAAATATGAGGTTATATTATACCAAATATCTGTTATATTTGGTTAAGAGTCTCCCTAAGAAGTTCTTGCTGCTAACTTTTAGATTGTGCCGAGAACTCTTAACTCAGGCACAGATTTCACAAATCTGTTTAATGCCTTTATCTCCAGTTTCCAAAAAGGTTTCACAGCAACCAATGCACACAACAAACAAAACAAATAAAATTAATAAAACCAGTGGCATACAAAATCAGTGCAGCAGGCGCCCAAATGTCATGTTGATGAAAAATCAAACAAGGCTGTCATCTTCCTCCTGTCTAGAACACTAGATTACATTAGGTGCAAATCTCTAGTCACATCCATCCTGCAGCCTCCTAGCTGCCCACGAAAGTATTAAGCCGCTTCTTTACCCACTTCTGCTGGCACTAATTGACCTCTTCCTTTATCTTCTATCTAAGTGGGTCTCAGAAGAGATAGTGGCTGTCTTTCAAGTACTGTAATCTCAAGAGAAGAAGTATGGAACTTGGCAAAGTGCCTTTTTAAAGGCACCCCTCCCTGTTCATCTGGCTAACACAAGACACGGAAAGTGTCAATGACATAAAAAAAGAATGCTCTCCTGGTTTCTCAGAGGAAAGGTTTGGGTTAGGGATGAACAAAACACATACCCCCATAGTCTGTATGAGACCTGACCCATTTTGTATCCCACAAAACCCTGCCCTCATTGCATCAATAGCATAGGAACAGTATAATAAGCTATTTCTTATTAAAAACTAAATGTGGGGGAAGTGCATGCTTTGTGCCAGAAGACTTTGCACATCCAGAAGAGACACATGCTCTCTGGCCTTTGACTTGGTTAGCAGGGATGGCCTTTTTAAAATACTTCTCAAGATTGGATGTCCACCTTGGCTCCTTAGCATCATCAGGTCCTTTCATGAGGAAATGAAGGGCACTATAGTTTTTGATGGCTCAACATCGAATCCCTTTGACATCTGAAGCGAAGTGAAACAGGGCTGTGTCCTCGCGTTGACCCTGTTTGGGATCTTTTTTGCTGTCATGCTGAAGCACACCTTTCGAACTGCAACAGAAGGTGCCTAACTCCAGACTAGATCAGATGGAAAACTCTTGGAATCCCTTTGACATCTGAAGCGACGTGAAACAGGGCTGTGTCCTCGCGTTGACCCTGTTTGGGATCTTTTTTGCTGTCATGCTGAAGCACACCTTTCGAACTGCAACAGAAGGTGCCTAACTCCAGACTAGATCAGATGGAAAACTCTTTAATCTAAATTGAGAGCGAAGACCAAAGTCCAACTGAAATACATGCAGGACTTCGCTGATGATGCAGCCATTGTTGCCCACTCTGCTGAAGACCTCCAACAACTCATGAATTGTCTTAGCAAGGCCTGCCAAAACTTTGGACTAACAA